AAATCGTTCAATTTAACATTTATTTATTTATTTATTTAGGCTGATTCATCCACTGAACAGAAAACTCCTATCAAGCAGCTTGCTATGATCGAGGACAATTATAATGGCGACCAACAAGTTGATTTTAATCACGATGAGCAGGCATTGGTGGTAAATTAAAAGTTTAATATAATATTTATCAGCAGTTACATGAATATTTAAATATTTATACTATAAAATTATCGGTGAATTAATCTACTGTATTATGATTAAGTAACTTATAATCAATTCAATGTTAAGAACATTGAGATAAAGAATACACTGAAGCGCGCACTCCTAAACAGAAAACGAGCCGCCGTGATAATAATCATCCCCACCGTACGGCAAAAAAACTATTATTTGTACGTTTGTAGTTGCAGTATTTACAGAAAAAAGGTGAGGTACAGTTTCAGACTAGCGAATCAACTGTTTATTTCATTAGACTTGTTGATCGTTTATTTGATATATTAAACTCCCAAATTCCTTTTTTTAAAGGTTTTAAAAGTCCAATAAATTCGGGAAACATCAACTCAATCAAAGCTATATTCGATGAAACGACAAGTTACTTTAAAAGTTTACAAAATACAAGAAGTTCCAATTATATTAGGTGGTAGAAAAATATTTGTTCTTGGTTTTATTATCACTATGAAAAGTACCTTAAATGTAGCATATCAATTATTAAATAAGCTTCAAAGCCCATTAAAATTTGTACTGACTTATAAAATGTCCCAGGATCATTTAGAACTTTTTTTTGGATGCATAAGAGCAAGAGGTGGCTCGAACAACAACCCAAATTCATTTCAATTAAAAAATACGCTTCGCCAATTATTGTTCACCAAAAATATAACTGTTGAATCTGGAAATTGTTCGAACTTTGATTACTCGGAAGGTGATGTAATAGAATTCCGATCTGAAAAATGCAGTTTTTCTGATACAAATAAAACTCCTGATGATAATGAGCTTGAAAAATATTTGATTCATCTTGATAATGTTGATTTGGGTTATTATGTTAAAGATATATTAGATTATATTGGTGGTTATATTGTGAGAAGTATTATTAAAACAATTGTGTGTGTCAATTGTGTTCAGCTACTTTTAGAAAATCGTCTAGACCATGAATACAGTAAAAATTCATCTTTTACAACTTCAGTAAATAGAGGTAAATTAATAATAACTTCTGAGGCTGTTTCATTAATTGTACAACAACTTGAAAAATCTTTTCAATCTGTGGTTATAAGGGAGAAAAATCTTCATAGAAATGTGAAATTGTTAATTAGGTACTGAAAGTGCTAGAAAAAGTATATTGAATAAAAATAGTTTTTTTTTTGCGAACTCGCATCCTATTGATGTTGAATTTGGCTCACATAGTCATGTATATTCATTATTTACATTAATTTGTCAAAAATGTATTAATATTCAAATGAAACATTATGAAAAGCAATTGAATATGTGTGAAGTTTTCAAAAATCATTCTTCCCTCAGGCATAAACTTACAAAAGTTATTTTGTTTAAAAATCTATAAGTATAAATTATTGTTCTCTGTTATACTATTTGTATACAATACATTATTTTTTTTTTTTTATCTGACATGGTTCATATTATACATAACATTGTTTTAATAATCTAACTAGCGACTAGCCATAATATTATAATGTGAAGGTACACAAAATAAGAAGTGGACAGTCGCGTACTTATTTCTGTGATGTACTTTGTTGTATTATAAATATTGTTGAATTATTATTTTTATTATTTAAATGTCTATTAAGTAGGTAATGTCCATTAAGTATTAGGTTAAAATAATAAAATCGCATTTATAGCAATAACAAAAAAGTGAATTCTTCGAATGTTTCCTGTGTACGGCATACGTAATAATATTTTTCTTGCCGTACGGCCGCGGCGGTGGGGATAGCGTTTGAATCGACGCCGCCCGACGGCTCGTTTTATTTATGTGTGCGGGTATACGAGCGCGCGCTCCAGTGTATTCTTTATCTCGATGGTTTTATCACGTCTGCACCTGCGACGGACGCACCAGTGCAACCACTTATCCAGAAACTCCCAATAGGTGTACGCGCGACCGTCGCTGCAGCCTGCAGCTGCACGCGGCGACTGCTGCAGTCGGTCGCAAACTCGCAACTCGCAACAGCCAAACCAGACCTTAAGAATTAATTATTCTTTGGTTGATAAGATAACATTGGTACTCAATAGTCAATTATAATACAAGGGGAACAGAAAAAAGTTTCGAGTTATCGAGTTTTATTATAATGGTTTGTTTGAGGGTATTTCAATTTAGTTTGAAATAGTAAAAAATTGAGATATTGACCTTCAACATCATAAGAAATAATCGCATTTAGATATTTCTCATTCAAATTGTATTATAAAAACACGTGTTTTTAGATTTTTTTTTCTCTTTAAAAATTCATCTTAAGTTTAATATTAATAATGGATCATGTTGATGCTAATGATTTTGCCGCAACAAATATATTGATTTGTGTAAGTATTAATAAATCAGTTTTATAATTAATAATTAAAATTACTGAATTTGTTTTATCAAGTTATATCATAATACTATCAGAGTAGCTAATGGAAGGTTACATTTAATTAATTAAGTCTAAAATTAAAATAGAATTGAAATTAAACGTAGAGTTTATAGGGACTGGACTGGAAATCTCAATAGATTTNTTACACGACACATAACATTTAAACGATAAGCTGCGTAAAAATTATAATTTTAAATTATTAAAATAAACTGTACATAAATTCTTTATACAAAAAAAAAATGCATTTTAAGATGTACATTTTGTCTGGCAATTACAACTCAACATTTTTGCTCGCAACAATTAATAACAATTATTTTTAAAGATAAATTTACGACTGCAATGTGTAGTTACAGCATTAAATGTGTAGATATTAATAATTTACCTTAGGACTTGCATTTTATTGGGTTTAAGATTAATATTATACGACTTATAACTTAGTAATAGCTGATATATATTGAATGGTGGCACTAACAAGCATACACCAAGCTGTTGCTCAAATTTCACTATCATGGCAGGCAAGGATTTTTGAGGTGTGATTGCCAGAAAAATTGTACAACTAAAAAATTCAAATGCCGCCAGTGAAATGTATTATGTAATAGCAGGTGCCATAATAGTACAACATATGCAAATAAATAAAAATTTAAATAATTATTTCTAACTACTCACCAATTTTACTAATTTTTACATGAACAAATAAATAATAATTCTGTTTTTAAATGATTTTTGTTTTGTATAAAGAATTAAAATAAATGTCAGTAGTTTGTTTTAATAATATAAAATAATAATTTTTACACAGCTTATCGCTTAAATGTTATGTGTCGTGTAATATTGATCAGCTTTTACTAAATCAATTTGAACATCCTGGGGTGTACACAACGTGTTCAGTAAAACCCCGAATAAAATTAAGAATATCAGCATTTACCGAGTACAACCACTAACCAGTAAAACGTAGCATTAACTAGTAAAACCTAGGTTTACCTAGTGATCGGGCATTTACGGTAACATATATAATACATATATAATATATATCTGTGCCTTAAACCGACGCGAGTAGAAGGGGCGAACTCATTCGGAACATTATTATTATTATTTATTATAATAAAACAACTCACAGAGGTCGTATTCGTACATGGCACAAAAAAAAAACCAATACAGAATAAGCGGTAACAAGAATCCAAAATCTTGGTTCAAGATTTTCAAGAAGAAAAATTCGATTCGTATCGATACGGAATAGTTACGTACCACCTCGTATCGGAGTCCGAGTCCGATACGGGTCGGTACGTATCGCTTGTATATTGCACGTGTAACATCTTGAACGCTTAAAATTGATCCGATACGTACCGATACACTCCAAATTCTTTCTTGAAAATCTTGTGCCGTAACCGAAGTGACGAGAAATAAGTGGTGATAAGACGCGGGATCACCAAAGAGTCTAACTGGTAAGCACCACTGGCTTATAGCAATATAGCGTTCTTCAGTTCTACTCTGACCTGACGGACATCGACCGACGCGCTCGGCGCACTCACGCACAACGGAAATACGATTTATGCTACTTCCTACTTATCTTATGTAGTTTTATCTACGACAGTTGACTATCGACAATCCGACATTTCCCGTGTGCCACCTGCCTGCAGTACTTGTGAGTGTGTATATCGTGTGTCGGTCATTACTCGTTTGTGATTTATCTAATATTTTGATCTCGTGACTCAAAATGAATAGGAAAAGGAAATTTGAATTTGCCGTAGGTAAGTAACAAGTGTTAGTTTAATTACAATAACCACACGCTTAAGTTCATCTCCCGGTTTGGTAGATATTATGCTACCAATTCCCCCGTCCAATTGCTTGGCCATGCACCTAATGGGTTAACTGCCTAGGCAGTAGACATATTATTAATAAATTCCCAATATGATATTAAATCTTACAAGTTTCAACTGCGGGTACCTATTTGTTATTTATGTGATTATAATATGCTATTAGTGAGCTATATAATAATTAATGTATTAGTTGTCAAGAGCAAGTTGTTGCCAAGCTGACTTAAGGCAGACTTCATGCTGACTGGCATGCAAGTGAATTGTGCTCATATAGGTTCTGTGCAGGTTATAACTTTTCTGGATCCCTACAATACTGGATTAGCTCTAGATTTGTCAACTAAACAGCAGTGTGCAAGGTAGTGTGTTAGTTACATGGGGTTTAATTGCAAATTACTCTGCCTTTGTCTGGTGTTCCTCGAGCAATTTTATCTTCACTTCGTTTTTTTTTCTGTTGGTAAATAGTGCATCTTGCATATTCAAAAATAATATTGTTTGCTAATGATGTGAAGCTATTAAGATAAAAAAAAATAGCCTTGATTGTGTGAGATAGCAGGTAGATCGAGATCCTCCTACAAGATACTAAATAGTAACTAAAATCCAAGACAACTTGAGTGTGTTCAACTCAGACTCCTACATGTTGCTAGTTTTATACTTAAGATATCTTGTTCATAATTGTATGCCGATTGCTACTCAACTCACCTTTGCTTACCCTCTTTAGCCAAATGTCGATGTATAGCAGGTATTAAATTGTGGGTCTGCTAAACAAAAATAATGATTTACCTGTCCTCTCTAATCTGCTTCAAAGTTCATTATCGTTAATCTCTTTCTAGTGCCCTCTTCTATGTCCCATATGCCACCACCAATTAGATAGATAATGACTAATGAGCCTTTACGACTAGATAATAATGTTTGCCAATTGCAGATCCTGCCTTTAACAACTTTTTATTCTAATTATGTGTAATTTATATATTATAAGTTATTGTAATTTGTATATTATTAATGACTATTATTAATAATTACTATAATATCGTAATGACTTCTTTTATCTAGAATGCGTACTGTTTTTTAATAATAATAATTGTGAACAACTGAAGTCGCAGCATTGGTGCGGTAGTAACAGAATTGAGACTCAAATTATTTAGGATAAATACTCCCACTAAATATTTAAATAGATAATACAAATTTGGGTAGGAAGAATGAATATCTTTTATTAATTAAAACAATTTACAGTGTAGTACATTTTGGGGTATATTTATATACGTACCTATTATCTACAAAATATCTATAATATCACTATAATAATATAGTTCACATTGTATTTAATTCTAATCTGACTCATAGTGTTAAGTAGTGTATTATTCTCGGTCTGTTACCTATGTTATCTTATAAACAGTTTATTGTGTCTCGTTATAATCGTTTTCTCTACTACAATGTCTTGTGTGGTTTGTAATCAACTGTGAAGTAGGGTCTCCAACTAAGACATCCAATGTTCAGAATTTCAACCGTTGTGTACACAAAATGGTGTTATTTAGTTACGTTTATACTACCATTTATAATTTTAGAAACTAGGCATACAAAAAAGTAAATGGGTGTGTGATATGTGTTTGTCTTCACAAAACTTTGTGGATTTGGAGCATTTTACTAGGTAAATTTAGTCCAGTAGATTTGACTATGATATTTGTCTATTCTGATAAAGTTCAGAGAACGTCATAGCCGAATGCATTGTCTCTGTCTGGAAAACATATAACATTACAAATTGTACACTCTGAATAATTCTTTTAACTTTGGTATGTTTAATTTTAGGGTTAATTGACCTTCTACTAAATTTAGAATTAAAAGGATTATCTAGTAAATTACGTAGGTTTTTATACTTTAATTTTAAAGCAAGATGCTGAGCATTTTAAAATTGTGAATTGCTTGTATGTTTTAAAATATCTAATTGTTTGCTATAAAATTAAAATAGAAAAAAAATTCACTAGATAATATAATTACTTCTAAATTTGGTTATGGGTCGATTCACTCTAAAATTAAACATAACAGAGTTAGGTAAATTAATAACTTTGCACGTACTATTTGCTGTGTTATGCATTTATAAAATGGAGACAATGCAGACGGATATGGTATCCTCTTCAATAAATTTAATTTGCTGGCTAATCCATTGAATGAAGTGTAAGAGTCAATATCCTTATGTTCTGATAAAGTTGATAATTTCTCCAAATTAGACATTTTGGTAACTAAAGTTAATATAATAGCCAGGAATTAGTTTATATTGAAAACAAATGTATGAAGATGCTTGAGAAATAGATTCCTTAAAGATTAGTCATAATGTAAATGAACAGTCTGAATTAGTCTATCATGTGGATAATGTTTGTTGAATTCTTAAAGTAACTAACAAATTGCTCTCTGATACTCTATCGAAATTGGCTAACTTGGATTATGTAAGGTTGCACATTAAGGTATAATTAAAATATATTGCATTAAATAGTGTAATGATATTAAAAGAAATATTGTTGTTGTATTCAATAATAATAATAATAAAAAAAACAGAACTTCCAAGATAGGTTGTTATAAAATCATTCAAAAATCAATTTAAAGTTAAACCTATAATTGCAAACTGTAACCAATTTGTGTTCAAACTTTCCTAATAAACTGTATATTTAAATGATTATTGTTCAACGTATAACAGGAAGACTATTTGTTACAAAATAATTTTTCAAATAGATAAAAAAAATGTATTTGTTTGGTCGTTCAGCATTGGCTTGTTTCTGAATAAAGAGGAATATTTTGGTATGTGTACTTTATCAAATATTTGAATATTATCATTAAGTAATTAGCCTCTTTTAAATTGTTATATTTCTCATTATTGAGGCCTGTAGATACTTAAGTATGAATACATATGATTTATCATCTATCAACTTATTGCAAATACAATGAAATTTCTCTCATTTTGTTGTATTTCTCTTAGGCTCAAAACTTCTAACCTAACTTAAGGCAGGTTGAAACACTGACTACAGTAATCATTAGAATATGACTATTGTAAATATTATAATGAATTTAAATTAAATTACATAAAAATATTTGTTTAAAACACATAAAATATTGTTTTTTATTTCTAAATTGTAATGTTTTATTCTTAATTAGGTGACAAAGTGTTGGCTTATGATAATAAATTACTATATGAGGCCAAATGTTTAAAAAGAGGCATGACTATGGCTAGTACCCAGTACTTGCTTCATTTTTTTGGTTTCAACTCTAAATTTGATGAATGGATTTATGAAAACGACATATTAGAGATGAATGAAATTAATTTAGCTCACAAGAATAGGTTATTATCTAAGCTACGGTAAGAAATTGATGAATTATTACTACTCACCACTTTTCACCATTTATTTATTATAATTATAAAAGTAGGAAACCTGCCAAAAGATCAAAAAATCTAAAAAAATCTAAAAAATCTAATACTACAAAAAATGCTTCACCAAAACCAGCATTAAAAAAAACAGATAAGATCTCAAATATTATCCCAAACATCAATCCATATTCAAAGGTATTACAATAAGTATAAAAAATAATGTTAAGAATTTCTGTTAGATATCTATTTTTATTTTATTTTTATTTTAGCTTCTTGCCGACAAATTGCATAATATTGCTGTACCCCTTATTTTACAAAAAGCATTGTTTTTGGATTTTGTGATGAACAACACATTTCAAAAGGTATGATACGTTTTATTTTTATATATTATGATTATTATCACTGTTATATTGATTGCTTGGTTTTAGATATTAAAATTTCCAGAGAAACATTTTTTGGCAGAAATTTTACATGCTTTCACTCAATCAACCTATTTTGACGATGATAGCGAAAAGTAATTATTTAATGACTATCTAAACTTATTGTTGTTAAACAATTTTACAATATTTGTTTCAGGAAAAGTTCAACGATGTTATGTGTAACGCTGATGCAATATTTTAACTCTTATGTTAGCAAACATCTATTATACGTTAATGAAAAAAGATTCAAATTATATATAAAGGTAATAGTACAAAACCAATCATGTGAAATAAAGCATGTTTTTTAATTCAATGATAGAATTTAATGACTTTCATATTTAAATATTTAAAATACTAATAACTTAAGAATCTGAACTGAGATAAATCTATTGATTTTACAATTATGTTATCTAACGTTTGTGTACACTTTCTATAAAAAGAACAACACTTTGATCTTAAATTTGACATGATTTCTGGTTAGACCTAGTTACTACTTTAAAGAGCTCTAAATTAAAATTTATCTGTAATATTTAGTTAAGTACTTATAGATATTTTATATGTTCATTTTTTTTTAGTTTGTTTACAATTTCAGTATAATAAAATTATTTAGCTTTGATTCAAAATCTTTATACAAGGTTCTTCATAAAGTGTATCGCATACAACAAATATCAAAAATACGTAATCACTATTGTTTCTATAAGTGTTTAAAGTTAAAATTGTTTACATAATTTAAAAAAAAATGATGACAATTTAACCAACTATTTTGTAGTTGAAAATGTATGCAATGCTCCTATCATATGTAGTAATTACTAAAATTTAAAAATCTTAAAAATATATTTATAAATTTTTTTTGGACATTTTAAGTTTAAATTTTGACGAAATTAAATATTTAAAATAAGAATTGAAGTTTGAATTTTGATAAAATTAAATATTTATATTATAAAATAAGTGTTTTGGTATAATTCAAAAATATTCTTTGTGGTGTCTTGAAAACTTATGAATTATATTATTTTAATGAATATTTATCAAACCAGGTAATTGTTTTGCTGTATAGTAGTTGTTGAAAGTGTAAATTGGGTAGGTCACTGAATGAGGAAGTCTTAAATTCATCTGGTAATGTATGATGCTATTCTTAATAAAAGTTCTCATTTACTTGTAAATAAAAATGTTGGATAAGCTTTTTTTAGTGTATTATAAATCTATGCACAATCAAGTAATATTCAATAAAATTACATTGAAAGAGAAATATAAAACTTAATTGTTACTACATTGATTGCAAATCCCATCACAATCTTATTGCTCGTAGTGGAAGTAGTCATCAGTTATATTATCTGAGAATATAATTTGCCTTGCTGCAATATTAATTACTAGAGTTTTGTTCTATAATCATTATGAACTTATCTAACTTTTTAAAATAAATGAATAAGCAATTTTTTATAATAGTTATGTATGTACATTGTCTGTTTAAGGGCATTCAATATTTTCAGCAAAGAAGTAAAAATCAACCAAATATCACCTATATCTTCAAAAAAAAATCTATGTCGAAATACAATTTGGTGTTATCTGTATGGTCCCTTATATCTATTGAGATTTCTTGGTATGTATTAAACACAAATACATTATTTTATATTAATTCTTAAGGGCTTTTATGGCAGGGATGGCCAAAGTGTAGCCCTTGTCTTAACATTTTTAGTTATATAATAATAAATATTATTCCGTTTTCTGCTCTTCATATTATTCTTCATTATAATTTTGCGGTTTGAAACTCATCGTTGGCCTCCCGTGTTTTATAGGAATTTTCATTACTTTATAAAAGTTGGTTATGTGGTAAATACTTTTTTCTTTAATATTTGTTTTATTTATTTGACACCGGTTGGCAATGTAGTGTACAATGAAATAGAAGCACACTAAAGCCTAAAATGATACATTTATACATATAGGAATTTAAATATTGATTCTATTTAATAAATTTAGCTTAAACTAGAAATATTGTTCGTGGATTCCTTGCCTTTTAAAGAAAAATAATGATTAGATGTAAATAAAATGCCTTAACTACAGAAATATTTATCAATTCATCGATTTATCTTATCATATGCTAATCAAAATCTCTTCTTACATAACATTGAATAAATTTAATGAAAATATTTCACAAAACATTTTATTTATTTATCAGCTCATTTACCATCCATTTTGATGTCAAACTCGTCGCTTCCTGAATGTGATTTAAATACTTTCTTTCTTCATATTGAAGGATTATACCGGTAAGTTATCATTTTTAGATTTTTCATTCTATCAAATACTGTTACTATTTTAATAATAATAATAATAATAATTTATTATTTGCAAATCAAGAATAAGAATCATGTGTAGTTGTGAAGTATAAAATAAAGTAATAAAGATTGGAAAGCCCCTATAAGCATAGCTTATGTTGAGGAGTTTTAATTTGAATTCAGTCGGTGACAATAAAAAATAAAAATACTAATTACGTATTATATTTGTTAACGTTCATATTTCAATAATGTTGATCTGGTAACCCGTCATAACCGCGAATCCAAAAAAGCGAATGTCAAAACAGCTAAGTATATTAAAGCCATAATAACGAAAGTTCAAAACAGCTAAAGTATATTATTTCAAAATTATTAATATTATAAGTCAAACAAGTCATACTTCAAATTAAATATAAAAAAAATTTAAAAAAAAGATAAAACATTATTTCTGAGAAATTCTTAACGCAGTATCTTGATAATTTTTCATTTTTTTTGGGGGGTTTTGCTTATGTATTGCTCTACTTTCATTTCTGTGTTAGTCTCCTTATTTGAACCCTTCTATGAGTTTCCAAAGTGTTGGGTGACACGATCCAAGTAAATTATTAAAACTACCGATTCCAACCTAAATAATATGTAAAAATCTATTAAACATACTTAATGTATTTTAGATATATTTATTCATAAAAATTAATTACCCTTGGCAGAATTATTAGTCTTTGCAAATCTATCAGGTCATAACAATTCTACATTTCCAAAGGAAATGTTGGACCTCTACGTCGTTTGCGCTCAGTCTTTCCAAGCCAAGTATCTTCAAAGTAGTCCAATAGTGGTCAAAAAAGTTCTTCGTGTTCTATGTAATAATCACTTTCACATAAGTGCTCTAAACTTGCTAGTACGTCAAGTACTGGTACATAAGCAAGAGCTGGTAACAATCGTATTGAATACATAATTCTGCATCAGTTAGATATTTTTCATGAATTGTGGGTGTCAATTGTATTTTTTGCCATTCACATTGACTTAAGTGAAAGTGGCAACCTCAAGAAATTATATTTTGAAAATTTTCTTTAAATGCCAATATTGCACTTTGTTCAAAGTCAGTCATAATAGTTTTAGGATTTAATGGTGTATGCGATTATAGTATTTTGATGAAATAAGAATATGTTGCAGTACTTTTATCAGGTAATAATGCAAAAACTACTGGTGTTTCAGTGTTATATTTCAATACGTGAATTGTGTATATTTGTGTAAATATAGAAGGAGCGCTCTTAAATGTACTGTCGGCGAACCAATGTTCAGATTCAGACATTAATTTTAATCCTTCACTTGTACAAAATATTAAAATTCTATTCTTTGTAAGACCGTTAAATTTTGTAATTATCAAACAACAAAAACTTACTTCCAATGTTTGTTTGTTTATACATGTTTGGTATTTCTTCTAAATCTTTCAAAGTTAGTGGATTAGGCGGAGAGCGTTGATTACGTTGCCTAGTTCACTGGATAATTCTTTTAAGATTTGATACATTTGTGGGATTGCCTTGAATTAAATTTGATGACGCTGTTATTACAATATCATTAATAATTTTACTTGGATTGTGTTGAGTAGTTAAAGCACTTTTTTTCATTACTTCAGTTAAAGTTTTGACTTCAATTTTAGCTGAATTGTGGACATGTATATGTTTGAATAAAGAATCTGTAATAACCAAATCATTTTTTAAGTTAATTCTGCCACGACATTTTTCAACTTCTTCACATCTCCAGTATGAAACTTCGCTGTTTTCACAATCCTTCCGATACAAAAACCCATTGTATTTTACAAGTGGTTTATTTTTTTGTGAAATTAGATATTCAATATTTTTAAACGACATATGTGAAACCATATAGATATAATATACGAAGTATGCTACTGCGATACTGATCGGTTAAACATACACGGCATGTCACTGTCGCTGTCTGACCATACAATAATATTGGATAACCTAGCTATAAAACTCATTGTCATTATATCTCTATAACGTAATACTATTACTATAGATAAAATAATAAGAGTAATAATTTAAAAATAATATACTCTGGCTGCTTTGAACATTCACTATTATGGCTTTTAGCTATTTTAGACTTAGCTATTTTGACAATCGCTTTTTTGGATTCGCGGATATGACGGGTTACTAGATCAACATTATTGAATTATAATTTCAAGGTATTTATATTATTAAAATTATCTATGTTAATTCAAAGTATTCTACATAGTTAGATTGCCTCTGAAACAGAACTTTTCATGCCAACATTTCTATGGAACTAAGTTACATTTAAATTAATATTAGGTTTGTAATCTTTATTTTAAATATGGTTAGTAACAGTGTTAGTTTTAAATGTTTAAAAGGATAACAATACATTTCTATAATACAAACTCTTAACATTAAGTAAATTAAACACATTGTATATAAAATTGTTGTTAGTGATCTTAGGTATATTTATTATAAATTTAATTACATTGTTTAAAATAATAATTGAAGAATGCATATGAGACTCATAAGTCATAAGCTTGTCTTCAAAATACAATACCATACACAATTGATTGATCTAAAGCTAAGTAAATTGTATGTTTCATATTAATATCAAATATATTTTGTAAATCATAAAAAAACATAAAAAAATGTTATAATAGTATTTTTAAGGTTATTTATATGATAAGTCAATTTTTTAAGTGAAACTTAAATACTTAACATTATTTGTATTTTCAAGAATAACGAAATTAAAGTTAATATATTTAGATTTATTTTAAATTATAGTAAATTATTATTAAACCAATCTTTAATATCATTTATAATATGATTTTATCTATATAAAATGTCTTTATTGTTTTACTATAAATTAAAATAGCAGTATCATCAGCTTAACAAATTATTTCTGCACACCAATATTTAATAGACCTTATTTTATATGAACAGAAGAGAGCCAAGAACAATGCCTTGTGGAACACCATGTGAAATTTCAAGTGGCGTACTGAATTGTTAGACACAATTATATTCAAATAGAAGTTCCCTTTTATTATTTGTACTTACAATTTATCAATATCAAATTTAGATTAAATTTTTATTATTTCTGAGCCATCTTCTTTTCTGATTTACAATTTCAGAATTATTAGTCTAAATAAGTTAGTATTGTTTTTCTCTGCATACAATCTTGGTTTTTGCAAATATCATTCTTTTGAATTTGATGAGTCTTTCATTCATATATATACTTAATGTTTTAAGTATTTTTAAGTCTGTTGTTATGAGTAAAATAAACTAAAATCATGCATCCAAAGAAATATAAAAAGTTTAGTAAAACTACCAAAGTTTATAATTTTAATATATAATTTAAGTCATAAAATTACGTATTTTGAAATTTTTAAATGCATCTATTATTTTGTTGAAATTTAGGTCATTAAACATCTGAGTTCTAGTTATTAGTTTGTAATACAGTTCACACATCGTCATTCCTTTTGTATTTAATTATGACAGTAAATATAATACCTTCATTAAAGTAATCATTCAAAATATATTTGGTTTTTTAGGTTTATGGAGAATAATTATGATACTTATTTCACTGACAATTCTTACATGGACGTTGAATACAATTTGTAAGAAGTATACATTCAAAATGTTTATAATTTAGTGTGTAAGAAAATAGAAATACATTGTTAACTAAATAAGTTAGTCTAGTTAGTAATAAAAATGTAACTAAACTATAATACCATACAATACTACTTGTTTATAATATTAAAGTGTATTTTTATTTAGGAAATATGTAATAAATTATGTTTTAATTATAAAATAAATGTGTTTATACACAAAATATGAAATAGAATTTTGTTAGTTATTCATACTCATTTATGGTTACTAATTACTACTACAACTTTTAATTTAATTTGTTATTCAATTTGATTTTGTATATTGGTTATAGTATTATTTATGATGAAATATGTTAAGGAACTTTTTTTCTGCACTGTTAAACCATGGAAATGGAACAGTACAGCATCTATTAGCGACTATATCCGAACCAGTAGTTGACACTAGCCATGATAGAAGTTGGAGCAAAAACATATGCTAATGAAAAAAAAAACAAAAGAGAAACTTAGATGATCATCAGTGAAGTAGGATGTTGATGACCTATAAACTCCAAAAACTTTACGTGAACAAGTGAAAAAGTTTTATTTAAAACTAATAATTATTATTAGAGATATGGGTGTCAGGGTAATTTGAAATATGAATTGTAATATTAATTGAAAATAGTATACATTTAAATTTTAAGCATTATATTAAATTGTATTAAAAAAATGCATTAATATTCAAATTGCACTGTACAATTAAAATGTATCCAACAATTTATAAATATAATACTCCACGAGAGTGTATGATCAGGGTATGTCTGAAAGAGCACTTGTTATATATATATAGGTATAATGCTATAACGGTAAATCTTATCGAGGCGCAATATATTTGATAACAAAAACCCTACAGTTATAATAACAAAATTATTTTTTTGAATATTATACAAATTTTCTTTAAAATCTAAAATTTAAGAAAAATGGTCCCATGTTCTATAAAAACTACAAAAATGAACTTAAAAATTTTGAAAAATTCAGAATAAAATTTGAATTTTCTGAATCAAGGGAGCATGAAAATATTTTTTAAAGATAGCAGTGTTTAGAATCAAAGGAAAAATTGAACAGCCTCTTTTAATCTACTTTTTCAATTGAAAAATTGTTTAATTTAATTAATATTTTGTATAATAAGTATTAATCACTAGCACGATAAGAACATATGAAATAATTCTGCTATTGTTATGTAGGTACCTACAATTTTGATATAGCCGCAAAATATAAATAAATTATTGGGTATTTTAATATAATATTAATTCAAAATAAAATATAATTATTAAATTAAAAATTGGTTAAACCTTTACCAACAAGTAAACAGTTATTGTATGTCTTATGTTTATAATATCTACTTAATGTGTAATATTAAATTTTGATAATAATATGAATTATGTTCAAGCTTGATTATTCTTTTCTGTATTTGAATGTGTATACAGTTTATGCTGCCTATCGTGTATGTAGTGTTGTAAGGCTGGTAAGCTTCAAGTACAAGCTGTTTCTATAAACTGAAATAATCGCACTCTTCTGTTCTTTTTAATTATTTCTTTACCAATTTTATTATAGGTTTTACCTAGTGTTTTCGAAAATTGCAATGGTGTTAACAATTTCAATGGTGTTTTTTGCGAAAAAATGTTAATTTATAATTCTTTAAAACACAACAATTTGTGTTGATTTCATAATTTAATTTTGATAAAACAAAAACTACACACTGGCGAAGCCGGGTAATTCAGCTAGTTATTAATATTTTCCGAGGTTTCGGGGTATGTTGTCATGACATTTTTAAAGTTTTTTCAGAATAAATTATACTCAGAACTCAAACGTCTTGATCAATATTTGTAGATGATAACCACATTTACATATATTATAATACTTAAGAGTTAATTATAAATTATTTTTATTTATAATTTACTATAATTTCTTAGGAATTCCATACATAATATATTATAGCTACAAAGACTGTAATACACATATATATATTATATCACAATTATACCAATATATTTAGGGCTCTGGCACACAGAAAGCGGTGTGACCGTGCGATTTCTGTTAAATAGTACAACTGGATATCTGATTGCCCCGATCCGCGTATCCGTACACCATAAAAGCCCGCGTTCTGTGTGCCGGAGACTGGCGAGCCACAAAAATTGGAAATGAGTAAATATAAAAATTGGCTGAAAAGTCATGCCTAAAATGTCTTGAGACACAATATATACGTGTTAAGATGACGTTACTTACTACCTACCTGTAAAATTCCCGGTGTATCTAACTTCTCTATCTTATACGATGTAAGTACTTTAATGCAAAAAATACATGTATTATACATGTTTATTACGACATAGGTTCGTTTGCAATAGTTACGATTCTAATATTTCTAATACCTACCTAATATCCCGAATGGCGTGCTTGCCGAACTACAACGTAATACACTTTAAATTCGTAGTACTTTCATCTTCATATCGTGTAAGCGTATACTCTAGTACCGAAAACCTAGGTAATTATTTATTAAATATTTTCGTAACATTTACTCGTGCAAAATCCAGACGAATATTAGCTAAATCGTTAATGTTTTTAAAGATGACTGCTCTCAAGCTCATCGAAGATATATAATGATTAATGAGTATATGATAGGTAATGTTAGATTAGTTCGTTTAAAATTGTCAAAATTGAACAATTTTCTTCAGACAACGCGAATGTCGAGCACAGACAATTTAACAACTTAAATGAATTGATTACTAATAGGGGAAATCGTATTTTTCCCGAACAATGTTGTAACAAATTAAACATTATTCTTGATTTTATAGTCCTTTTAACTTTTAATATTAAGACTTTATACCTACTTTATTTTATAGTTATTTTAACTATATTTTTTAGTTAACTCAAACATTAAAAACGGCGTTATTGCGTTAACACTATAAAATAATATAGTAAACATTACCATAACAAATAACTATATTTATATAGTCATAATAAGTTAATCATTTTAGTTATTTTACCTATTAAATATTTATATTTACAATATATTTTGTTTAACTTTAATATTTAAGTAATTTTTTTTTTCCATGTATAAAAATGATATTTTATTTATTTTAGAGGTTTTATGCATTATTCTACGCCGACGTTATGATCCCGATCAGACTTCACCGAATAATGAATATACCAGCTGCATATATAAATAGGTAATTACTTTTGATATTCATCAGTATTATTTTGTCCACATTATTCTTCGAAAATTTGTTTGTTTTTTTTTTAGTTCCCTATATTTTGAAACCAAATGTTCGATATTCCGTAAGTAAGGGTCATTTAATTGAATAACTTCATTTGTTGAATATATGTAGGAAGTAAGGAAAATATCAAAAATTGAAAAAACGTCCACGGTTCACAGCCGTCATCTGCCTATTTTCTTAACGCTTGCATTGTTGCTATACTGCTCCCGAAACTCGCAATTTAGGTAAGCTTTACATTATAATATTATAATATTATGTAACATAAAAACCTTGTCTAATGTTTAATAAATTATTAGTTTGCCTTAATAATTTTTAAGACACAAATGAATACTGTTTGCGCAGTAATATTTATTGCATACTATAATTTTCACGTTGGCGCAACGGTCTGTATCGTTTATCAGTGACGCGTTCTGATACGGCGCTAGTTATCAAGTACTAGCCGCCGTTTGCTGATTACGCCTGTACGCTTCCCGTATCATTAATGTCATCATCATTCTCATATTTCTAAAAAGCGTAAAGTTCTTTTCTTCGGTGTCATCGAAAGTATCATTATTTCAAGTTTTCTCCGTTTGCGTAGGTGGCACTGAGGTATTGTTTCATACTTCGTCTCACTCTCAAACTTAAGGCACCGTGCGTATGCCACATTTTTTTCTGGTTCTCTTTTGCATTGCGCTGTCAAGCTAACAACATATCTGTATCACTACATAACAAAATTTCTCTTCTCATTAATCTCTCAAAAGCAAAATATTGTTTTTCCGTCCTTTCAAGTTGTTTTATACCTATCGTGTCAAGCTGTTCCCGTATTGTTTATTGTATCTGCCCTAATCACGTGATTCGTATTTGTGTTAAATATCACCTTGTCGTTGTGAGTTGTTTGTCTAGGCTGGTGACCCATTGGTCACGTGTCTTTAGGATTGTCGCACATTTTATTTTACATCATTGTATTTTTTATTGTGCAAGTGTGGGCATACCAAGTTGGTAGTGTTACGGTTCAAAGTCACCAACTGACACCATTCTCTGCAGGTAATCGGCTGATGAGCCTTATTATTTATTATATTTATATTTATATTTATTATATTGATACTTACAATTATTTTATGTATCACTTATTTTGTATTGAGCCAACCTGGCCATCAATAGTAATTATTATTAGATCTATTATTTAATCTCAATATTCACCCATTATAAAGTATTACCTTATCATAAATATCATATTAAATTGTATCACTGATGCCAAATACTTAAACCTCTTTTACTTTCCCTTAATTAGACAGTTCACTACAACAACTCTAATACATTCCTAATATTACAATATCCTCGCTTATAGCAGTGCTGCCTATTGTTGTGCATCAGCTGATAGGCGCAACCAAAATACAATGTTGAACCTTAGATTCAGAGCGTAGCAATATATGTATTGGTTTTAAAATTATGTGTGTTTTTTACATTTTTAAATTTTCTATTTTGTATTTGTGTACACGATAGTTAGTCTAAACAATTTTCCAATTTTAAACTTCAGTATCTTGTTAGATGCGAAAATGAATCTAGTTGGTGCATATACCTACAATCAATTTTAAAATGCCTTTTGTTCATGACATTCAAACTTTATAAATCAAATAATTATTTAGGAATGTCACTACATTATTATGATCTATAGCTCCAAATGTCAACTATGTAAAACAGCTCACAATAGAAAAATCAAAACTATATAAAATTATCTATTATGAAATTGGCTGTCACTTTTTCTGCTAATCTTTTAAAAAAAAATTTTCAACATTTTAAATCTATGAAAGTATAAAATTTTCTTTCTGGGTTACTATTAAATTTAATTTTAAATCTGTTTTCATTAACTGTTGACAAGACACTTGGAGCAATATGAATCCAATTTATACATTTTACTTGAGTGGATCTTGTGGTTAGGGCAATAAACGTGTCAATAAACATGACAAGGCGTCATGTGAGTATATTATATTTAATGATAATATTATTTCAAGTATTTAGACATTAGCTGTGGCTAAATATTTATATATTAAACATAATTACATTTACGAGATTCCAAGCAAAATAAATGATTGTAGACTAGACACAAATAATAAATGATTATGATTATACATAATATGGTTTTTTTTACTAATAAGATCAAAATAATTATAGCAAAAAAATATTGTCAATTCTTCTGATACATTAAAATTTTTACTGAAAGGTTGTAAAATTAATTTTATAATTATTTAAATTAACTACATATACCGCGTGTCTCAAGAAACAGTTGTACACTCCATCCCTCATTACCCTGTAAATATCTTTCAATTGTGTTAAAACTCAATCCCGTTAAACTAGACTAATAGATCATAAATACCTACGACTTAATTTTTTTTACTTAACTAATGTATTTGCATTAATGTCACTATCTGATTGATTGGTTTTTTTCAATAAATTTTGATGAATCGACTTGTGTTATAAACTAAAAATTGGCTAAATTAGAGCTATAGGTAAAATTTAAAAAAAAATGTATTAAGTTGAAATTTTTTTTTTTAAGTAACTGATTGAAAAACTGAATGTTGAATCCCCTTTACTAGATTTTGGAGTTGTATCTACCACCAGTCAAAAGGTTCAGGAGACATCCACCATCAAATCCACCATGGAGTAGGTTTTTCACTAAATTAAATTATAATTATAATGTTTTAATTAATTTTTGATTTATATCATTTACTTTCAGACGGACTTCAACTGATATCTACTACCAGTTATTACAAAGAGGTCTGAAATCAAAAACATTAAATAAAATAAAAAACCGTGTATGATATGGTATCAATCATGACAAAATAGATGGGTATCATCACAGTATTTTGATACGTATCTTCTATTTTTTACTTTAAATTTATAGTTGTTCTCCACTTCTTATTGGCTGTCAATTATATACATAAATATATAACTATATAAATCAATCAATCAGAAGCTGATAACTATGATATGAGATCGGGGTGAACGGCTTACTGAAAAAAATTATTACTGCTGTGATGATATCCATCTGATTTGTCATGGTATCTATTACCTCTCCAATTGTATTATTACATTTTTTAATTTTGTCCAAAGAATCACTCAAAAGCAAGAAAAAAATGTTGATTTTGTCCAAAGAATCACTAAAAAGCAGGAATAAAAAACTGAGCAATAAAATTGCAATGCATATAAAATTATCAAAATCACTAACCGAAAGTTTGAATGACATGAAAGATAGAAATGCCAAGCTTACTGAGACATTTAATGTATTGCTGTTGGAAGATAAAGATTACCAGTGCCCAGTTTGTCATGAAACATTCATAAAGGTAAAACGTTCAATAATTTTTCAAGAAATATAATATATGTATTATGTAATAATGATACAATTAAAAATGTAACGAATTTTAGAGAACCTCATTGTCATAAGAATACAACTTATCATTTTAATTATTGTATTTTATTTTTATTTTTTTTATTTAGCCAGCATTGCTTAGTTGCTCTCACATGTTTTGTACTTGGTGCCTTGAAAATTGTTCAAAGGAAAATAATCACTGTCCGTTATGTCGGGTTCCTATAACACATGTTGTACACTGTTTGAGCATGAACAATTCCATTGAAAAAAGGATGGAACTCATGCCAGCTTCAATTAGATTGGAGCGCAAGAATTTAGAAGAAGACCGAAGGAAAAAACATATGTAATGCATTTACACCGTACTTGAATATATTCAATTGTTAAAAAATTCCTTTATTATTTCAGTTAAACAAAACCACGAAGAAATTTTTCAACTTTACCTTAGATATTCAAACAATGCAAGCCAGTCGTCAAATAATTAAAGCTTAAATAATGTGCATTGATAAATTAATTTTAATCCCACTAAATTACTTTGTGAGACATATTTTGAATTATTACTATTCTTTATTACTATACTTGTAACAAAATTAGCAATTTGATTGCATCATCCCTTATGGTTAAATATCAATAATAGCATATTAGTGGTTGTGGGCTACATTACAAAATTGCTTATATTTTCCAGAAATAGGATTTAAATTGATTGTTTAAATATATATACAAAAATTAACTAAGCTTAGTGTGTTATAGTCTACAATGTACAATTTTTGATAATATGTAATACTTATTTTTATAGAATATTCAAAATTCCAAACAATATTTTGTATGTATAATGTATATTTATAACTATTTTGATAAAATAATGAAATAGAGATTAAAAGTAAAAATGCGTGTTTTTCTATAGTGTAATTACCAATATTAAGACCAAAAATCGTGGAGGGTGTGGAATAAAAATTTATAAAATTACAAATATTTAAATAATGTATCTAATTAATGAGAATTACAAATTATACCATTTATATAAAAAAAATTTTAGCATATGACTATTAATGTAAGTTTTCAGAAATTAAGGGAAATATTTTGGTTGTATAATAATTAATAAGCTTAAATTGAAAAAGTGTGCATACCATATTAATGTTTTCCATACATAGAATATAATATGTCCAATAGCATGGTCCTGGTGTAATGTTAGTGTAGTAGACTTACAAAATGAATATTCTTATTTCAAATAATTTTAGATAAGGTTGATAATATGTTTTCATAGATGTTTATAACTTAATCAATATCAATTTTTGAGGCCATTATTAGAAAACAACATTTTTTAGGTATTTATTTTTATTTTTGTTGATATTAAGTAAACAACACCCTTTAAAGCAGGTGCGGCTCCAGGAGGAACCTGGGAGCTGAAGCTCCCTCCCAATCCCATATTTCTAAAAATTGTGAATAATAAATGTACTTAAATTCAATTTACTTAACATTTATTTATTTACACGTTTTTGGGGGTGATTTATTTTATCACTATGTTTCTTTTTTTATTCAGTAAGTGCTTCTCTTTAATTTTCGCTCATTGTTTGTAAACTTCAATGCCACTTGGCATATTTATAATTTCGAACATGGTAATAAGTAATAACACACTGTTTAGTGCACAATAGACAAATTTAAATATTATAATTTAATAAGCGACAGTCGATAACGAAATGAAACAAATAATGAATACGCGATTGTGAGTTAGCAATCATTTTGCATTGAGTACACGAAATGAAGTAGGTTAACCGGTTGGCACGACAACGCCGTGTTTCCAGATTTTATTATAATTTCTCATTAGAAGTTTGCAAGTTTCTTATAATAACTAAATTTCTAACCTTACGATTTCGTTGATATTTGCAAAAGGATCATCTGCATAATCTTTCTGATTTTTATACATTTATTAGGTATTAATAGACTCGGTCGATAATTAGTTAAAAAAACACCGAAATGTACACTGTTTAAATAATAAATAGGCAACTCCTGCTTCGAGATAATCTACACTCTACAGTTTCGTGCCATCGCTATATTTTTTTCACTTAGCTCACCGTCACAGGTGGATTTTAAATCTTTTATGATTAAAACTTAAATATTGAAAATCGTAATGTTACGTGGTAACAATTAAAGTATTGTCCATCACTACTGGTATACGGTGTGTAATTGTATATCCGTAGTGATAGATCAGTATTCAGTACCATACGGGGAAATATGATTTGGATGTTCGACAAGACAACTAATTATACCGAGTATAATGTAACGTATATTTTAAAATGTAATATAAAATATTTTACTTTACCGATGACCTGGCAGCAACACTACACGGAGTAAGTGGTGAAAGGTGACTGATCACTGATCTGGTTCGGCTGAAGAATGTCAAGCAGGCAGAACGATTATTATACATTTTGTTTTCTATACAAAATAGTTATACATATATATAGCTTTACTCCGTGATATTACAGAATGGATAAAAGATGACACGCGCATCTATGAAATTTGTTTAGTATATAATACTATACGTAATATTATAATTATAAAAATATGAAAACTTGTAACGGTGTTCCACACCATTACAGTAATTTTTCGTCATATTTAATCAAACTTTAATATGGAACAGGGAAGGTGCTATACGTATGTTCAAAAACATTTTACTCGTCAAATTGTTCAACTGTAATCAGTTTTTTGAATTCTTCATATATCAGTATGATATGGGCAATTAGGTACTAATTTAAGTTTAAAAAAGGTATGGGATTAGAAATGTGTATAATGTTACAGGTTGATTTTACCCAGATTATCAACAGCTAACTTCGTGTTATATCTAGACGAAAGAGGGTTGGTGCACGAAGTATTTAAGGACAAAGGATTAATGGACGTATAGGTATAGAACAATATATAAAAATGTGTCGATGTCATGCCCGTAATGATCAGACAGTAGTATCATCCGCGAACTCGTTCCGAGGAGGCGACAGAGAAGTTAATGTTCGATTGTTGCTAGCCAGAATTCAAGACCCCAACGTCATCGACATTTCTTACGAATCTTCGGATGCAGACGAAGGAGAAGAAGACGGCGACGAAGAAGAAGAAATAGAAGGAGAAGACGACGACGACGATGACAAGAGGTGTAAAATATGTATAAGGGCGTATAAAAAATGCACAGAAAAAAATAATTAGGTTGTTGTCGTCGTCATCTTCTTGACGTCGTCGTCGTCTTGAACGACGTTTGAATAAAATATTACTTTGAAAATATGTAAATAAAAACGCAATTAGCAAATATTCGGTCACATTGACATACGGTCGTGCGGACAGAAGTGCTTCGAAGTAATCGTTTAATGTATAACAATGGTGAAAAAGGTTAAGGCGACACTAGGGCTCCCTTAGATTTGACGTATTTAACAACTAATAATAGTTTAGTTTGAAAATATTTTCAAACCCTATCGATATTTTCAACCGTATACCAGTATATATAGAACCGTGTTGTAAACCGTCCCGCGATTCGGCGATCGGCGCCCAACGGTCGAACGATTTGAGAGATAGTGCTTTCTTATAACTTTAAATCCTGACCGGTCGGAAACGGAATGAACCGCAGCGTTCGTAATTTCCATAGACCTTATACTAGTATACTAGTATAAGGTCTATGGTAATTTCATGTCAGACGCTTATATTTGTGATTTTGTGTTTACTGATATTAGTGGTGTGATAAGACGCACGTGATTCCTATCGGTGTTATTCGGCAAGACGTCCTCGTAGCGTTGTTGGTTAATAAATCAATTTTCGTTTACGTTACGACTTTCGAACTTTCTACTGCCTACAATATTTACATCAAAACTTTTCAAATCGTCTTGTCATTGGTGCTATGATTCTCACTCCTTCGCTGCACATCACTTCAGGTAAATCAATCGTAGTTTTACTACTCGATGAGTGACGATTAACGTCCGCAATCTACGAGGGCCGTCGTTCGTAGTAGCCACTCATAACAGACGTAAGTAGAAGTCTCTTTTGTTTCAGTCTGTGGAAGTTAGGCAGTGGCAGTGATCACCAATCGGCGACAAGTCCGTCGTCGTGTAATTTTACCGTGTAGGAAATATGTTGTTATTGATATTATTTTTTGTTTATCTTAAAATCATTTAAAATGGGTATAACCAAGCAATACTTGCGTACGTTCCGTGGAAAAAATTTCAACATCGTTTGCCATCCTGACTGTAATGTAGTCTTTGTCACGCTAAACGGTATTTCTGGCAGATATGTTGCTGTCGTCGCTTGCGAAAATGTTATCATTTGGGACTTGTGCTTCGAAAAATTGGTAAACATGACGTTTTATAGTTAGCTAAGTCACTTTTTTAGTGTCAATACTTGTACATATATTCATTGTCAATCAGGTTATGATAATCGAAGATGAAGACATGAAAAATAATACGTCGAAAAAGATTTCTGTCGTTAAGTTGGCCACTACCTCGGAGGGTAAACATATTGCTGTAGGTTATTCTTATGGTTTAGTGAATACGTTTAATTTGGCTACTGGTGAACTTATTGGAACATTCCAAGGTCATCGTTCTGCCATAACTGCACTAACTTATGACACCCATGGTCACATGCTCGCTTCAGGTTTCAAGGTATGTTTTTTTTTTTGTCTATGGCTATAAACTTAATTATTATATAATATGATTTATCATTTTTCAGGATACCAAAGCAGTCAATTGAGATGTCATAGCTGACAAAGGATTACATAGGTTGTCTGGACATAAGGGTGTAGTGACAGGAGTACAATTTATAAACAAGCACAACGTTGGGGTGACATCTTCAAAGGACATAACTGAAGTAAGATTTAATTATGAAAAGAGCTCAAATTTAAACTCAAAAAAACAAATTTAGAAATCTTACTCGGTGACGCTGTTAAATTCCTGGTTTCTAAACGTATTTTAAAAAGGAATGGGTAACCTTAGTATTTTGGATAGTTAAGAATCTATATTAAATACTTAGACATTGAGAAATTACTTAATATAAATAGTTGTACCTAATTAAATAATAATAATAATAATAATAAAATTGTTATTATTTATCGTAGTTACATAAACTAATAACCCATAAGATTGCATTGTAATTACATATATTTTAAATTATAGTTAATAATATTGTAAGCATATAATATATAAATATACATACGTAAATTATTCTGTTTTTGATTCTGTTTTTAAAAAACTAAGCTTGTGTTATAGAGTGAGAGTTCAAAAACAATATTGATAAAAAGATGGTGTCAATGAAAGTTTCTAAAGAAATTACAGTAGAACCTCATTAATCCGGACTAATTGAGGTTCTAGGTTGTCCTAATTAATGAAAGTTTGTATTAAACTAAATAACCAAGAATCGTAAATTATAAATTCAAAAAAATTTTATTGGATAATTTACTATACTTCCAATACTTAAGTCTATCTAATACATATATCTAACTATATTAAACCTAAAAAATAGTACATAGTGTTGCATAATTGAACTCGTTTTCATGTTTATTTTAATCTACATCATGAACTAGCTTGATAAACGGCTGTCCAGATTAAGCGAAGTTTGGACTAATGAAGTCCGGAAATTAATGAGGTTTTACTGTAATACAATTTATAAAAAAGCAATGAAAGACCAAAATATGGGGAAAAAATAAAACAAAATTATGTCTAATAAATATAATAATTATAATATTATAATTAGAAGAAATATGGCCTACACATTTTTTTTAAAGAAAAAAATCTTTGGCTCCTCTAGAACGCTTAGCAGAACACCTAGTATCTTAATACCTGGTAACTAACGGATAGGCACAAATGGTGTTTAAAGTATTCTAAATTTATGGAAACCTATTTAACCTTTATTTAGCTATTAATATCCAGGTAGGTTTAGGTTAACCTAACCTATTGTATATCAAAACAGTTTAGATAGTCAACAATATATGGCATAAGGTAGTTAATGATTGGACGATGATTGAAAAATACATCCCGCAATAACT